GATCTAAGAGTGATTCATCTTCTAACCTTACTCTTGGTTGGAATCATTCGGTAAGTTAGTCGTTTTTGTGAATGTTTGCAAGGATCCTAGAAGGACCTCTAGCTTTGTAAACACGAGCAACCTTGGTGCTTATCAGAAAGAGAAAAAAGTTAAGCTAGAGCTCCTTGTACGTGGTTATTATTCATTTTAATTCAATGGAAATTATTTTTCTTATATTTTCGTGCGATTTCATTCATGTAATTATGCACAAATTTAGTTTTCAACCTCTATGTGGAGTGCCTTAGCCAAAAATATTTAATTTTAACACTATCGGGAAAACACACAGAAAACGTCTGGCGCAATTTTGGATTGGTTTCTAAAAACTTCTCTTTATGTCTTTTTTTTCTATTTGACTACTGGGAAATTTATTTATGCACCAAAACCCAACACTAAGAAGATTAGGTTAGGTAAAATAATAGGAAACCCATTTGGGATGTGACTTAGATATAAGCACATAAACCACGGTCCTAGACATAGGCATTCTATCCCATAAATGAAAATTAGTTGACAAATATATTATAGGGTAATCACACATAGAAATATGATTGTAGGTCTCCCTAGCCACAGCAGCAACCAAAAGTGGTTCGTGACAGAGTAGAACTTAGATTGCTAGGATTAGCTAGATAGGGGTTGCCACTCTTTCCCCAAAGTGTGTATCCATATTTTCTATCAAAACTAAGGTAGGAAACAAAGATGTCGTATTTTATAAAAAAAAACTTTATATTTGCAACTCCAAACAACAACTTTTATCAGCATTTTCCCATAACCCACAATTCCATTTTTTAACCATTTCACTTTATTAGTTCATTTTGAAAGCAAAAGTCCATGAGGAGTCGACCTTGGATTACTTTTGATTATTAATTGTGGCTGTGTATGTTTGCACATATCTCTTATCTGTTAAAGTTAGAGAAAATCCCAACAGGTTTTTGACGCCCTTGTCGGGGACTTAATTTTCAAAATCAATTTTTCAAAAGTAAATTGTTTCATATTGTGTTTGCTACATATCTCTGTTCTTTGAGATCATTTGTTATATCTCTTAGACGACAATTTTTTGTTTTTTGTTTTTAGCATTAAAGCTTTATTGCACGAGTCCATAAGGAGGTTAAGGTGAGAAATGAATCAAGAAAACAAACAAAAACTTGAAAAAAAAAAGAGAATGAAAAAAAAGTAGGAGAGGTTACTTGTATTGAACCAAGAAACCCGTAGGAGTGTTTGAAATGGATGCGCAAATGATGTACAATCTAGACATGGGAAGTAACATGCCCATAGCTCATGTTAATCAATTTTGTTGTCATGTTGTGGTGATAGTCGTCATTCATTTTAATATTGTCCATCTAATCCTTCATTTTTCTATTATTTAGGCAAGCAAGGGAATAAAAAATATTTCAACCCTCATTCAATTCCATACAACCAAGATTAGAGGGATCATTAAAATTTCTTGTGGGGAGAGCATAAACCTTAAAATATCCATCCATATGAGCACACACTCCCACCAAAACTCCCGACACAACCCCAATAGGAATACGAACAACCATGGATGCCAAAGCAAATACAATCGTATAAAAAATCTAGACTTGAAGAGATGATGATAGGTTATATGGGTAGAAGTGATGAAGCAGTACGCACGATGCAGATCCAAATGGAGTAGATCGTCGATATGTTGATGAATAGTCCACTAGAAGCATTACTTAACAATATAGAAGAGCAAGTCGAGATAATGAAAGTTTGGAGCGATCTTTAATATGATGAAGCTGAGCTCATAGTGGACAACGATGATGAAGGGATCGGAGCCCGCAGCAGAAGCACGTGAACGCGTGTACTTCGATCTTGTTTTAGAATTACAACAAAGAAAAGACATAAGCATGAGTTTGGAAGTTAGTGATACATACCTTTGAAGACACCTCTTCAATGTAGACACCAACGCCACAAAAAAGTCTTCCTCGCTATTCTCTAGGTGTTAAGAACTCGATTTGTGGAATCTGTCTTATAATTGAAAGGGAAATCGAGAGATCAAGAGAGCATTTCTAGTTGAAGTTTCAGAAACTCAACAACCGAGGACTGGGGGACCAAAGAGAACAGGATAACCTCCCTTTTTATAAAGGAGGAAGAGTGGTGGGGAAGTCACAACTTCCCCACTCACCACTTTCCCACTTCCCACCATTAATGGTGGGAAGTAGAATACTCCACCACTTCCCACCATTAATGGTGGAAAGTGGGACGTTTTTCCTCCCATGTTTCATTTTCTCGGTTTTTTTCTTTTTACTTTAATTAAAATAATTTTAATTAATGATATAAAAGAATTAGTTATTTAATTAAATTAAATCTAATTTAATTTAACCAAATTAATATATATCACTTTAATTTAATTAAATCATATTATTTAATTAAATTAAACTTCAAATAATCAACTATATTACAATCAAATTCTAACATCGATCTCTCTCACAATTTTGAATCGAATTCAAAATCAACTTTATATTATAATGTATCAATATACATTATATTAATTGCATCTCATACAATTATCTTTAATTTATTTTAACAAATTTGAACAATTTAAATTCTTTTCAAGACTAAATGTTCTTAACTATCCTTTACGAGTTAGCAATGGGACTTAATGGACATACAGATCGGAAGCTCCAACGACGAGATTAATTGATTAAACTCATTAACCATATTAATCAACATTCGTCAACTATCGGTCACTCCACTAAAGACCCACAGCTGCAATCCTTCACGAGTATTCGTAACCATAGCTCAATTACCGTTTTACCCCTGTGTTACATCTTGGACCTTAAGTATTGCTGATCGTCTAATGAACAATCCGGTTATGGTCCAACCAATAATCGGAAATCCCTCTTGGGCCAGTGAGACTGTGGGGCCCCTTGTTCAAGTCTCGGAGTCAGCACTTAAGAGAACACTCATCTACTTACCCTAATGTCGGGAAGGAGTAAATTCCATATTGTGTAGTTATATTTCCATCTCCCTATACGGTCTCGTCCCCAAAATGGTAGGAATATTGAGTCGGTGACTTGGGCCACTCTCACCCATACAAATCAAAGGACGAGCCCTAATAGGCAGGAGTCCATAACTCACTCAAGATTGAGATCAAGTTACCTTGTCATCCTATTGAAATATTAATCTATTAGCTAACGGTATTACAATTAAAGATAAATTATTTCGCGGTTCGGTCTTATACAAACTCATTGTATATGATACCCCCACTCGCATGTCTCTACACGAATGACCTGGATCAAGTCATATGTAACTATTACAAAGCGGGTCGTATCCATAGTGTTATCAGGATAAGGTACCCAACCTTATCCATATACTATAGACCCATTAGGTTACGACTGGAACATTATCCACCTGTATATCGAATATATACTGTATATGTATATACTGTATATGAAATATATACGTTGTATATTAAATATATATTGTATATCTTTTATATACTGTTCCAGTTACATGACATAACCTCAGAGGTTACTTTATTGGATCTGGGTATATGCAATGCTAAATGAAACGCCATTAACAACTTTATTGAATAATTATTTGTTTTATGTTTACAAACCACGAGTTTAGGGCATAAAACCCAACAAACTCCCAGTTGAACTACACTTTAGTGGGGCGTACAAAATCTAAATGCAACGTGGGTTCTACAATAAAGTACAAATAGAATAAACTAGGGCATATATTATACCCTTTACAAGTCTCCCAGTTGCCCTAGACTATATTGTACATATCTCGTAGGCCTAGACTTTCTAGACGACCCTCAAACACTTTAGCCGTGATAGACTTTTGTAAATAGATCATCCATATTATGCTCAAACACCATTATTATAACAATAAAGGGTGATGGGTAAATTCATGTTTGGAAGAACTTCCAAATCAGTTAAAATTGTTGTAGTTATGGTTGGTCTTTAACACATATAAGTTGTTTTTTAGTTTTGTAGAAAAAATGTTAACACTATTTCGTGCAATGAACCCTTCATTTAACGAAAAGGAAATAGAATAACATTATTCCAGTAGATAAGAAATTAAAATTTTCTCTTTATTTTGGGAACTACATACACATTATCTAATAATATATATTATTATTGTCTAAACATAACTTTAGGTCTCCCATTACGACTCTTGAGACAACATCTCCCTTTCTGACTTTGAGTGTCGTCCCCCCGGCATCAAGCTACCTTCAGGAACTAATTTCCTGAAAAGAAGAATAAACATGGTTAGTGGCCCCTGAATCCAGTATCCAGGTAGAATCATCATTCTATAGTAAGCAAGTTTCAAGAACAAGTAAATCATATTTAACTTCCCTGACTTTCTTCTTTTCGGCCAAGTATTTTGGGCAGTTTTTTTTCAAGTGCCCATCCAATGTAAATATTTTCCTTTGTCTGCAACTTTGGCCTTGCGCTTCTTGGTAGCAGCATTAGCAGTAGGGTCAACTTTCACCCCCTTACCACTGTTTTTCTTCTTCTTGAAAGTCTTACTTCAAAAAGAAGAAAGTACATATTTGGTTCATGAGGTCGAACCTCGATGGAACCGTTTTGAGGTGACAACGTTTGCCTCCCCATCCTGTCCCTTAATTTTCATACGAGACTGGAAAATATGTAGTTCATTTAAGAGCGTGGTAAGGTTGTACTCTATCTTGTTCATCACAGCATTGCTGCGAAATTGTAGGAAACTCTTTGGAAGAGATTCCGAGATAAAGCTGACCTAGCTCCCCTCGTTTATGACAGCGTTCACTTCAGCCACGTTAAAGTGGACCATCAGATTCAGAACATGTTCTCGCACTGATGTTCCCTCTTTCATGCGGGAATTGTAAATGAACTTGAGGGCATCGTGCCGGGCTTGAATGGACGGCTGTCCAAACATGTCCCGAAATAAGTCCATGATCTCTCTTGCTGTGACCATGCTCTCATACTTCTTGGCCAGCATATCAGATATGCTTGCCAAGATCAAGACCTTAGCCTTGATCCATTTGTCATAGTCATCCCGACTAGCTTGGGCTGTATTAGGCGTGGGAGCCTGATGACACTCTTCAGTCAAGTCAAACGTAAGATCATCTACCATGAGTATCATGTTAAGGTTCGTTTTCCATTGTGTGTAATTTTCGCCGTTAAGTTTGTCAACGACAAGCAGGGCAATAATAGAAGTAGACATGCTGAAATACAAACAAGTCTATATTAGACATTTTCACTACCCATTAAAAACCCAATCAATTTTAGCAAACAGTAATAATGCACCCTATAATCAAGATTATTTTTGCACGATGCTTCAATGATTTAGAGCAATAGCTACCATGGGGCAATCAACTACTCCTTCACTGAATTGAGACATTCTCAACTAAATATTACACAAGAATAACTCTTATTCCTATGATAGTCATCGTTTATTTGGTCAAGAAGTTATTAACTAACTTAACAACTTCCCCTAGGTGTGACTCGCCATTTTCGAACCTCAAAAGTCTGCTGTAGGGAAGGACAAATATTGGTGCAAAACCTAAGAGACCTTACCCATTTATGGAGTTCGCCCTGATTTTGATTCCATACAACAGATTCTCCATAGGAGTGGTCGCTCTAGGATGACACGCAGGCTGTGTATGAAACCTCACGTTGCAAACTAATAGAGGAGACAGCAGGATGTGTTGTCACACGTCCTTCTCCCACATTATAAATACTTTATCCATTCACCTTGGTATTGAACCATGCAAACACCTTCTGTAGGGAGGCTGCGTCAAGGGCGACACGAGGTCGAGCATGGAACTCACGGTGTGAACTTCTACCGAGAACGTGAGGGAAAGAATGTATATAAAATATATATCTTATATATATTATATACTTGGAATATTTTATATATACCTAATCCTCCCACTTAGTATTTTAAAACTATGGTTTATTACTTAGGTAAAATCTGACTAAATGAAATTATCTAAGTTTATTAGTTTGCTTAATATAACTTTTATATTGGATTCGTTTAACACTAATGTTCTAGTTCATTAAACACTTTAACGAACTAACCACATTGTTGCATGCTATAAAACATTGACTAATTCAACCCTCAGGTCGGTTCCAGGTAGAGGTGTTCCCTTACGGTTAGCTTAGACAGGGTTCCCTTATAGCCAATATTTTATATTAACCTAGACAGAACCTTCCTTAGACAGGGTTCCCTTATAGCCAATATTTTATATTAACCTTTTATTTCATCGTTTTAAACCTATTTAAAACCAAAATAAAAAGTATATAACCTAGGATATAATCAATTTCAAACCCCCTTAAAAAAAACTATTCAAGACCTAGGGTTTGCATGCAATTATTGATTATAGACTTTAATTTCTATCCACCAAACTTACAACACTTATAAATTTAAAGAAATTGAAACTATAATCATGTATTAATGACATACATAAATATAACAATTGTATTTACTAAAGTAATGTTATGCTCAATGCAACTTTATTTTCATCTAATTAATATAACACTTATATTCATTAGTTATGAAAATAGAACATGTTATCATACATTATAACTATTAGATACATATGATGCATGAGCATGCTTGACCTATGATGAGATTTTAAACTATATGACATACTTTATGCAACATATACATTCAAAATGCATAATAATTAAATAGCAAAATAGACTGGTTTTTGGCTTCCTATAAGAGATGAAACAAAAACAAACAAAAATTTTTTTTAAAAAAACAAAGAAAACTTGGCGGCGAGTCGTCCGGACCCAGCGTTTAGGTGCTGCCCCTACTACTGCAGGTTCGAGCTCTCGGGTTTTTGCAGTTCTGGTAGCGCCTAGGCGGTGCTGCCTAGTGCCTAGGCGCCGTCCACCCAGTTTCTCTGGTTTTTCTTCAGTTCTCTAGTACTCTTTCAAAGCAACTCCTTGCCACGAACGACACAGACTTAAAGACTCGATTTACAGGATTAAACGCCCAAAAAAATGGGCCCTTACATTGATCAAATCAACGAAAAAACTGTAAATCTATTGTGAAAACCGAAAACATCTATTTACAAACCACATACATCAAATGTACAGAAAAACACCCATCATACTTCTCGTTGAAATTAAAAACAAGATCGAAAGCGGAGCCTAGGCTCTGATACCAATTGAAAGGATCGGATCCCGCAGCGGAAGCACGTGAACGCGTGTGCTTCGATCTTGTTTTAGAATTACAACAAAGAAAAGACATAAGCATGAGTAAAATGAAGTTAGTGATGCATACTTTTGAAGACACCTCTTCAATGTGACACCAACACCACAAAAAAGTATTTCTCGCTATCCTCTCGGTGTTAAGAACTTGGTTTGTGGGAACCATCTTATAATTGAAAGAGAAACTAAGAGATCGAGCGAGAGAATTTCTAGTTGGAGTTTTGAAAAATCAACAACCGAGGACCGAGGGACCAAAGAGAATGGGGGAACCTCCCTTTTTATAAGCGAGGAAGAGTGGTGGGGAAGTCACAACTTCCCCACTCACCACTTTCCCACTTCCCACCAGGAAAACCTACCCGACTTTCCACCATCGAGGTTTTTCCTCCCATGTTTCCTTTTCCTTATTTTTCTTTTTATTTTTTTCATTTAACTTTAATTAAGATAATTTAAATTAAAATAATAATTAATTAAATCAAATTTAATTAATTTAAATAAATTAAACTTAAATTAATCAACTATATTAGAATAAAATTATAACTTCCATCTCTTTCATAAGTTTGAATCCAATTCAAAATAAACTTTATATTAAAATGTATAAATATACATTATATTAATTGCATCTCATACAATTAACTTTAATTCATTTTAACAAATTTGAACAATTCAAATTTTTTCAAGACTAAATGTTCTCAACTATCCTTTACGAGCTAGAAAGAGGACCTAATGGACCAACACATCGGAAGCTCTAACGATACGAGATTAATTGATTAAACTCATTAACCATATTAATCAACATTCGTTAACTGTCGGTCACTCCACTAAAGATCCACAGTTGCATTCTTCCCACTGTAGAATATTGTGCGTCCATGGATTTTGACCATTAACGGTAAGTCAATTCTTCACGAGTGTTCGTAACCATAGCTGGGTCGAATTACCATTTTACTGCTGTGTTACATCTTGGACCTTAAGTACCGATAATCCTCTAATGAACAACCTAGTTATGGTCCAACCAATAACCGAAAGTCTCTCTCAGGTCAGTGAGAGGGTGGGGCCCCTTGTTCAAGTCCCGGAGTCAACGCTTAAGAGAACACTCATATACTTACCTTAAAGTCGGGAATGAGTGAATTCCATCTTGTGTAGTTATGTTCCCAACTCCCCACTCGGTCTCAAACCCAAAATGGTAGGAATATTGAGTCGGCGACTCGTGCCACTCTCACCCATACAAATCAAAGGACGAGCCTTAATAGGCAGGAGTCCATAACTCACTCAGGATTGAGATCGAGTTACCTGGTCATCCTATTTAAATATCAATGTATTTGCTAGCGGTGTTATAGCTAAAGATTAATTATTTCGCGGTCCGGTCTTATAAAAACTCATTGCATAGGATAACCCTACTCACATGTCTGCACATGAACGACCTAGAACAAGTCATTTTAACTATTACAAAGTGGGTCGTACCCATAGTGTTACCATGATAAAGTACCCAACCTTATGCATATACTACCAACCCTTTAGGTTAGTACTGGAACATTATCCACTTGTATATCGAATATATACTGTATAGATATTGTATATTTGTTATATACTGTTCCAGTTAGATGACATAACCTTGGATGTTAGTTTATTGGATTTGGGTTTATGCAATGATAAAGGAAACACCAATAACAACTTTATTGAATAATTATTTGTTTTATGTTTACAAACCACGATTTTAGGGCATAAAACCCAAAAGATGATGCACCAGCCCCTGATGCAATGAATGAGGTAGGGAAGGATAAGGAAGTTGAACAAGACGAACCGGTAGAGGTAATCGAGCATAAGGTTGGAATGGACCTAAACCATTACCTGTCAATATTGGACCACTTTTCCCTTTCCCTCAACATTTTGTAGAGACAAATCAAGACGTAAAGAAGCAAGAACTTACCACAATTGCAAGGATCAGGTAGAGGAAGAAATAGGTGAAGATGAGATAGGTTGAAATGAAGAATTTTATGCATAAGAGAAAACCACGATTCAACTTTTCAAAAACAAGTTAATACAAGTAAGTCACATCCCTCTCGTGGGGACCTTCAAGCTTATTGTGTTTTGAAGAAGCTAAACTGCGACATGGTAGTAGCATAAGAGATAGTGAATGAGCTTAAGGAAATGAATGAAAGTTGAAAGCCTCCAATTTTCTTCAAAGTAAAATCAATAGGAGGGAAGTTTATAGATTAGTTTCATGCTTGTTTACTTTCCAATTTTTTTATTTCATGAACATTTTAATAATCTTATTTTCTTAGTACATGATTAAAGTTCCCAAGAAATTAAGGCATGGGGCAAAAAGCAGCGAGCATTCTTCCATAAGAAGAAACAAATCAAGACTTAAATATGGAATGCCCATAAAAAAACACCGCTTGGTGGCCGTTGTTTTTTTTTTTTACTCATTAGCTGAATCGAGGGAGTTTTCTAACCCGTTTCATTGTCGTTGACAGCATGTTGTTTTGTTAATCTGTGCTTAATCATGTTATTTTGTAGGTAGAAATATTTGCTTTAGGTGGACGGCTGAGATGTCCTGTGGATAACACATTTCATATTTAATCTTACAAGTTAGAGCCATACAAGCATTGGCATTCTGTGGACCCTATGCTCCTTATATTCATGCCTTGTTTGCTTTGTCATTTGAATTTTGCAGGTACGAGAGTTTGATGCCTCAAAAATTGCCCGGCGCATATTAAGAGCCCTATGCTCCAATTATAGATAAAGAAAAAGTAACGGGCTTATGTTCTTAATTCGATTGATTACCCGATCTAATTAGATATTAAAACTATATTAGTGCTTGATGCGGGAAGGACTTTTCTCATGAGTGAGTTATCGGTTTTTTTATAAGTCCTAACTATTATTTACTCTACCTTATGGGGTAGAGGGGAATGTGTA